CAAAGAAAGGCGGCGTAACTTTGTTGCATTTCATTACACCAAATACATAAATGTTCTTTTTAGCAACATCATATGACCCCTTTAAGAGTTTCACCCCTTAGATAGGAAAATACTGTCTATACAAGTATACTGTAATTTTGGAAAAGCATCTAAAAATAATGGAACAACAGAGTAAGCTGCAGGAAAAGTGCACAAATCCAAGTTTTCCTAAACATTTTTAAATATGACCAAGACCAATGTATTTATTTAAAAAAAATATACATTATACTTTTAAAAATTATATTAAAATTAAGGAATATATGGATTATATTTAAGGATTTTTGTATGTTTTAGAAATACATTAGTCATAAAAAAAAAAGTAAGAATATATAAATTTAATTTTTTACATTTTTATATTTAAGGTTTTCGGTCACACTTTATTTTGAGGTCCAATTCTCACCATTAACAAACCACTAACTATAACTTCTGCCTCAGTAAACTCATAATTTGCTGCTTATTTATAGTTAGTAAGGTAGTTACTAAGTTTAGGTATTGGTAGTAGGGCTGAACGATTTTGAAAAATAATCTAATTGCGATTTTTTTTTTTTTACCAATATTGCGATTGCGATTTAATATGCAATAATTTTTTTAAAGCTCTTTATGTTCTGTATTATTAAACAAAGACAAGCTATAAATCATTGTATAGTACGACCAACACACTATTAGATAGATTAAACATAAATGTTTTTATCTGTAGGCCAGACCTATATGTTACGATGAAATTAGGTGATGCATGAATTGATATGAATGACATTTTTCTTTAACAACTACAATCACAGTATATTGACTGATTTGTTGAACTTCCAACATTGTAAGCATGTAATAATTATGTTTAAATAGCCTGGTGTAAACATTAATATGAAAGTCAATAACAAATCACGCAAACTATAGTAGATTGCAGAAATATAAAAAATCTGTTGCTTTACTACACTACTTTAGGTCATTCAAAGTCACTGTAATAAACATATGTAAACATGTGCACTGCACTAAACACTGTCTGTTAACTTTAGACCAGTGGTTCTCAAATTTGTGGTCTCACCCCCCTTTAAACCTATTAAAAAAATCTGCCCCCCTTTCCCGAATCCCCATTCCACCTCAGACTACCAAATAATTTCATTAAACATTATGAAAAATGAATGCTTTTTTAATTTAAAAAAACACCTGCATCACTTGAAACATTGAAAAATAGCATAGAGAGAATAATGGTTATTATTCTCTCTCTTATTTTTATTTTTTTTGTGGGTTACATGCAGTCCGCTAAGGCATAGGACACACACAGGCTTTCCTCCTCACCAACGACATTAAACACCATGTCTACACCGGACGCGAGCGGCAAAATACAGTAGAACCATTATAATCAGTGACGCTGTCTACACTGGATGCGGCGCGACATTAAACTGATGCCTTGTTCTATTTATGACATACTGACACAAAGTTAAAGTGATTTGCAACGGTTGCTTTATCGCGTCCAGTGTAGAGCTGTTGCGTTGCGACGCGTCAACTGTAGCGTCCGGTATAGAGACAGTGAGTGAAGCCGAGAGCAAGATATGCCTCGTCATAGTTTTTTGCATTTAGCTTTTGAATGACCAGCACCTGCCTGGGTCTGTGCGACTTCATCTATGGCTTTTCTCTTCGCTTTCACAAACCGATCCATCTCCCATTCTAAGTTACGTCCTTTGGCTGTTTACGGTTTTATTTCTTTTCTTTTTCTGCTGATGGCCCGCGCTCGACTTGAAGCAGCGCTGCTTAAACCGATGGATGTGTGTCAACAAAGTATTGCGAGAGCTATAAGAGAGCGCGAACGTCTCCTTATGCTTTCTCTCGCCGTATTTTGATGTCATACACCGATCAATCTTCAAGTCGAACACACCTCTTTCGTGATTATGAAATGGAATAAATCGTTGGCGATAATGACAGCTGTTTGCATATCTTCTCCGTGAACTACAGCTCTGTGTAGTAAAGGCTGCTCCATCTGAAAGCATGTAAAAATACCACATTTAATAACATTTTTACTCAAAACGTCAGTCGAGTGTTTGAAATAAATCCTTCTGTGAGATGATGTGGCTTCTTACACAGAATAAGGCACGCAACATATTTCATAGTATTTAAGCAGTGAAAATTAAAAAACAATAAATTAATCATTTTTATAAGTTAAACTTCAATGCTGAACAAACTGAATTTTTTTTTTTAAACTCACCTCTTCCAGAGTAGGTATGACCTTCAGTAATATCTCAGCCACCGTGGGAATATCGGCACTGACGCTTAGGATTCTGTCAAAGTAATGAATTGCATTCCACGAGAAGAGAGAAGAGAAGCGATATTAGTAATACATACAGCCCGAAGAGTAACATCAGTGCTTTTGTTAGTGCATTTAACATTGAGGAGAGGAGACAGACCCCAAAGAGTCATGGAGTCATGCACTCCTTTGTCAAAGGGGAGTGGAGAACACAGGAAAACAAAGAAAAACAAACTGAAGCTCCTGCCCGTTGCGGAAATGTCAAGATACAGGGAAGGTCAGAGTTGCAGCATGACAGGGGGAGATTAAAACTGATAGAGGGGTGACAAAGTACAGAGAGAGATACACATGAACGAAGCAGGAGCTCCAGATTCAGCAGAGAAGAGCAGAGACAGACGAACAGACTGAGTAAAGTTCAAAAGTCAAACACAACAGTGAAATAATACAACGGACAGAAGGGAGAAATGTAATTTACACTGCCCCTTCACCCTCAACAAATTCATCCTTGTATTAGCAAGAAAACTTTCAAATGGGAACTGTGGAGAAAGCACATTTCCCAAAGGTACAAAAAAGCGTTTCTGTCATAGGAGAGGTGAAAAGGGTGGGAAAGGGCTTCCTTACATGACAGAAAAGGCATTTGAACACAGTAAAACAGTTAATAATGATAGTCATGGCAGCATCATACTCATGTTTCATGGCAGTAAGGGAGTAGTTTGTACATTAAGGATGTTAAAACAGTTCTGATATTGGCAATAACAGAGCTGATATGACTTGGAGGTTGGAGTATCTGAGTGGCACGTACCGCTCGGGCCCACTGCTGTCTGGGACTGACACAGTGGCATTGTACTGCAGGGGGCGGGGCCAAGCACCCAGAGCAATCAAGCACACGGATGTCAATCAAGTAAGCCGCCCAATAGGAAGGGCGCGATTATGGGTGTGGCCAACCAGGGAGTCAGGAGGTCAGGCGGCAACGCAGGTGGGCGGTACAAGTCGATCCGGAATATAGGAATTGGCCAAAAATGAACAGAAAAATAACAAGGAAAAGGGGAGAGGGAGTGGAAGAGGAATACATTTTTAAATTGGAAACACTTTCAGGTGTGACTTTTCAATTCTCATAATGTTGGAGGAGAATGGAGAACAGGAGAGGAACAGAGATTATGAGAATATGTACTAGGCCAGTATCAAAGATTCATATACTCTTCAACTAACTAAAGAGTACAGTAGAATGTGGGGTATTTATGATACAAAGCACAGCTTTTGTAACAAACTGCCTTGGTTCCACAAAATCGATTTTTAAGTGTTGTTTTGTTTGATGTTTTAAAGTGTTCTGTTGGCTTTAATACATATTCTAAAATATAACCCAGTTCTACAGACATGTGAGCTCCACCTACCATAGTTCATGTGCGTAGAAAGAGTGATAATGTGCAAACTAAACGGAAGAGTACTCACATCTGTGCGCAGAGCTTTAATATTCTTCCCACCCTTTCCGATCACCGCTCCAGCATTCTGGAGAGAAGAGTCGATCAGCATTGAGGGACAGGAAGAGAAACTAAACTCAAAAGTGATGGGAAAACCAGCGCATTACTTTGCTCTGTAGCAGAATTCGAAGCTCCATCATGTCGTCAGAACCTCGGGAGCGCTTATGAGGCTTGTCCTCCTCCATATCCTCAGCGGAACGCTTACCTGAAATCCATTTTACATGGAAAAGTTACAGTGAAACAAAATTACGATTTTTTTTTTTTGTTGGAAAAACTATGCATAATTGGGCCTTTTGCACCGCTTTAGTTTCAGAACTAAATGTACAGTACTAAAGTACTGGGACGATTTTGCACTAACTGTTTCCCAGTACCATTTAAAGGGTTGCATTCGCACCGAGAGTGTGTACTAGGAAGTGACGTTAACACTCTAGCAACCACCCTGAGTACCTTAGCAACTGCCTAGCAACACCTTAGCAACTACCCCAGCTACCCTAGTAACCACATAGCAACACCCTGTCAACCACCAAAAATACCCTAGCAACTGCATAGCAACCACCCTAAATACCCTAGCAACCGCATAGCAGCACCCTTGCAACCAATCCGGGCACCTAAGCAACTGCAGAGCAACAGCCTAGCACCCGCCCCAAGTACCCTAGCAACCACATAGCAATACCTTAGCAACTACCCCAGGTACCCTAGAAACACCCTAGCAACCACCCCACGTACCCTAGCGATCTGTTTTTCTATGTCTGTTCTTCTGATAGACTGTATTGCCTTCAAAACTTTAAAACTATTTGAAGTATTTCAAACTACTTCAAACTGAAAACCTTCAAACTTCCAGCTTTTAAAACTTTTACAAACTTTGGCTAGGCTTTTTCAAGCCAACTTAAAAGTTTGTCTACAAACTTTACTATCTAGTTACACTGTTGAAGATGTAATTAGTAGCTAGTAATTAATTACTTTCTGAGAGTAATTTACCCAACAATGCTGAACAGTATTGTGTCGTGTAATACAATGTAATCAGTTACAAATTGTATGGCATGCTTTTTATTTGAAAAAGTGTAAAAATTGCACATTCATTTATTTATTTAGCAGATGCTTTTATCCAAAGCGACTTACAAACGAGGACAACAGAAGCAATCAATTGTAGTATTAAAACAACTAAAAACTGATCCAAAGCTAAAAGCTAAAACTTTATAAATACTACCTACACACATTTTAAAAATAAAGAGTTTAAATAAAAATGACATGTGAACTGGATAAAGGAGGAAGCGGATAGCGAACCCGTGCCTCAGTCGCTGCTCAATCAGCGCGTCCTGGAGCAATGGCTGCTGACTGACCTGCGAGATCTGTCCCACCCGGTGCTCCCCGAAAGAATATCCGAGGCACTGAAAACAGAACTAAACAGCTGTTACTGTCTTCAGATGGACTCCCTGCTAGACGTCAGCCAGCCTGCCTACACTCAGCTGCAGCGTATTCGGGGCACCAACTGCTCCAATGATCAAGTCTCTGCGGTTACGCCGGAAACGCAGCGGCCGTGGGAGGCCAAGCCCACACGTATGTTGATGTTGCAACTCACGGATGGAGTGCAGAGTCTGGAGGGTATGGAATACCGGCCCATCCCGGCTTTAAGCACCAACCTGCCACCCGGGACGAAGCTACAGCTAGTCGGTCCAATTGGCGTTCGTCTCGGGGTGTTACTCTTGAAAGCGGAGAACGTGAAGGTGTTGGGTGGGGAGGTGGAACAGCTCTTGGAGATTTACTCTCAGAGCAGAGTGCTTTGCGGGACACTTGGTTTGCCTGAGGAGAACCATCCACAAGGCGAGGAACCGGATGACCAGGAGCTCCTGGCCAGCGTAGAGGCTCCAGTAGATCATCAGGTAGCTGACAGCGGCTACAACAGCATGGCTTCAGAAACTTCCTTCAGACCATATCAGTCGCAACCCCGTCCTCAAGCGACGCCCGTTTCCAGAGAAGACGACTGGGATATGGAGGAAATTCCAGATGATGACTTCAGAAGCATTCCAGAGAATTTTGACGATGTTCCACAAAATGTGGTGGATGATGTTCCCGAGGACTTCGATGACATCCCGTTAGAAGAGCTGGAGAGTGTGATGTGCCCGATCGATTCAGAATGCAAACCTGATGCAATCCAGCCCAAAATTGAAGAACCAAGCCTTTTAAGTTTTCGCTCTAGAACTACTCTTAACAGCAGAAACTTGAATGAAGTTCCTGACGCATCTGTTGCTAGTTCCTCTACAAACACAGTTGAGGAGCCTGAAGCAAACTTACCCAACCAACCCAAAACTGAAGAACCAAGCCAGACTTTTCGCTCTAAAGCTCTGCTTGGCACCACCAACCAAAGCCGAATCTTCAATGAAGTTCCTCGTACATCTATTACAAGTTCCTCTACTAACACAGTTGGATCTTCTGGTTGCGAACGAGAGGCACCTACGCCACCGTACCTCTGCATGCTACAGGCTGGCCACTGGCCGCCCGCCAAAGTTCAGACTTTACAACTACAAGCTTTCATTGTTACACTCAAAGGAAATTTGCGCAGTAGTAGTGGCATGTGGGAACTCGGGGCCACCATCTCTGACGGAACCGGGTACTTGGATGTGGATCTGTCCGATGCCATGCTCACCAAACTCATCGGCTACACGGCACCAGAGGCTCGAGTGCTGCGGAAAGACCTGGCGAGACGCGGTGAGGTGGACAGCGGGATTCAGCGTTGTCAAAGAGAGCTGGTGGATATGTGCTGTATGATGAGCGTGCAGGTGGATCAGACGGGCAGAGGAGTCGTGTTGTGTGTCAGTCCGCTCTCGGACAAGGAATGCTCCGAGATACAGAAAAGAGTGAAAGAGAGGAGGAACTAAGCCGTACTTATTCTCTGGACTCTCGTTTAACCTAATCTGACAGTGTTTGTGCTGATTCAGTCAGTGGTTTCTCTAATATTTTAGTAGAGTAACTCGTTTTGGTTCTCTCAGTCTGAAGAAAACGGCTTATAATGCACTTCACTCATATCCGTTACATTTCAGAATCCACGGTGTTCTATTTTTGTAAATTGTTTTGTTTTGTTTGATTTGTTGTTTTTATATTTGCATGTCTTTGAATGCGATTTAATAAATTTAAAAAGGTAATTTAAACCTCATTAGATTTTAGTTTTTCCTTAGAACAATTTAAATTTTTACAGTTTCTGAAGAAAATGTGGGTGATTTGCTATGTGGTCTCTGTGTTCTGAGAAGTAAAAAAGAAAACTTCTCCCCATTATGCCGTATGATTTGAGGAAGTACTTGAAATCTTTATGACTTGTTTAATTCATTACAGAAAAGTTTTTGAATTTTTAAATGTAAATGTAATTTGTGTAATTTGAATCTATTGTATATGTTTTTTATTTGTTGTTATATACACACATACGGTGGTGGCCAAAATTATTAGAAGACTAGTATTCTCACCAACTAAAAATGTTTTTAAGTCAGTTATTTCTATCTTTTGCTGTAGTGTGTCAGTAGGAAATATCAGTTTATATTTCCAAACATTCATTTTGCCATTAATTATAATAATCCAGTGAGATTTTTGTCTGACAGCAGCCAGTGCGCGCCACAGATATCGGATCTGATCATCATCAGTCTGTCTGAGATTACATGAAGAAACAGAACAAACTGAGACAGACTCAATCCAGAAGAACTGTGGCAACGTCTCCATGATGCTTCAAGAAACCTACAAAGCTACAGTACTGTTAAAAGTTTTAGGCACTTGTGTAAAAAATGCTGTAAAATGAGGATGCTGTCAAAAATAATGTCATAAATAGATTTTCTTTATCAATTAACTTATATTCACTAAATTAAATCAACATTTGGTGTGACCATCCATTATAATAATCCAGTGAGATTTTTGTCTGACAGCAGCCAGTGCGCGCCGCAGATATCGGATCTGATCATCATCAGTCTGTCTGAGATTACATGAGACAGACTCAATCCAGAAGAACTGTGGCAACGTCTCCACGATGCTTCAAGAAACCTACAAAGCTACAGTACTGTTAAAAGTTTTAGGCACTTGTGTAAAAAATGCTGTAAAATGAGGATGCTGTCAAAAATAATGTCATAAATAGATTTTCTTTATCAATTAACTTATATTCACTAAATTAAATCAACATTTGGTGTGACCATCCTTTGCGTTTAAAGCATTTTTTGCCCTCGGTGCACTTAGTTTCCCAGGTAGCTTTGCAGGTAGGATTCTTGAAGCATCTTGGAGACGTTGCCACAGTTCTTATGGATTTAGTCTGTGGTCAGACTCTCACTGGATTATACATACATACATACACTCACACACACACACACACATATATATATATATATACTGTATATATACACACTGAACAAAATTATAAACGCAACACTTTTGTTTTTGCCCCCATTTTTCATGAGCTGAACTCAAAGATCTAAGACTTTTTCTATGTACACAAAAGGCCTATTTCTCTCAAATATTGTTCACAAATCTGTCTAAATCTGTGTTAGTGAGCACTTCTCCTTTGCCGAGATAATCCATCCACCTCACAGGTGTGGCATATCAAGATGCTGATAAGACAGAATGATTATTGCACAGGTGTGCCTTAGGCTGGCCACAAGAAAAGGCCACTCTAAAATGTGCAGTATGTTACTGTACTTTACACCGTAATTCATGTCTATAGCACAAATGCCATATGTGGCGAGATTTAATACTAAGGGCTGTGGGTTTGCAAATAATCATCCTAAATATAAGAAACAATAACAGTTTTGGTTACTTGGGCAAGCAGCATCACATACACAGAGGTCATTAAAACAAATAACAACGGGCACCAATAGATGGCAGCAGTGGAATGTAATTGCTGTGTAAAATGCAAACCATCAATTGTAAGCCGAGAACATGCCAAACAGACCCTTTAATGAACTAGCTAATTCCCATATAGGCTATTCTTCCTGCTGTTTACATAAAGGTATAAAAGAAAAACAAATGCACAGAAAAAGAGTCTGAACACTTCAAGACCAGAATGCAATCTGTTGACGAGGCAGGCTTTCATTATGAAGTCTTGTCTTTTGTAATCTCATACTCCATCAGTTAAATTCAAGCATATAGTAGTCTAGTCTTGGCCTTAATCATATAGATTCTACAGCTTTATCTTTATGGTCCTGGTCTAAAAATACATGAGTGTCATTAACTGAGTGCGCAGTAAATTGCCCCTTCACGAGACTCCCACTGCACGCGCACGCTCATCTAATTCGCCACTGATTTATATTCCCACGTCGTGCATTAGTCGTGACCCCGGTACCGGGTTGCGAGAGCTGCTATGTAGTGACTCGTTTTATTGACTCGAATTGGTTCAATAAAAGGAGTCGCTCACTCACCCTAGGTGGCGATGACAAGTGAGTGGCCTTTTGTGTTATGAGTGAGACTGATGATACACAGGGCAACTTTTTGAGAAATGTTCAATTCAATTCAAGTTTATTTGTATAGCACTTTTCACGATACAAATCGTTGCAAAGCAACTTGACAGAAAATTACGTTTCTACAATATTTAGTGGTAGCTTATCAGTGGTGACTTTCTACATTTGGCAGAAATGTATGGGGAAATCAATTAAAGACGTAATCAAACAGACGACGAACACTATTAACATTTAGCCTACATTTAGTCATTTAGCAGACGCTTTTATCCAAAGCGACTTACAAATGAGGACAATAGAAGCAATCAAAATCAACAAAAGAGCAATGATATGCAAGTGCTATAACAAGTCTCAGTTAGCTTAATGCAGTAGGCCTACATGTAGCAAAGTTTTTTTTTTAAATCATATAATAAAAAGAAAACAGAATAGAAAAAGTATAGAGCAAGCTAGTTTTAGAGGCCTTTTTTGCTTTTGTTAATCAGAAGTCAGAATTATAGTTGTATAATAAATAAAAAGAAAACAAATAGAATGCAAAAAGATTAGAGAAGCAAGTGTTAGGTTTTTAAAAAAACAAAACAAGCAGTTAGTAAATAAATAGAGTGCAAGTCTAAAAGGGGCAAGTTTTTAATTTTTTTTTTATAAATAATAGAATTAGAATAGAGAGTGCTAGAGTTAGAGTCAAATAAAGATGGAAGAGATGTGTTTTTAGCCGATTCTTGAAGATGGCTAAAGACTCAGCTGCTCGGACTGAGTTGGGCAGGTTTTTAATAATTTAACAGCAATTATTATATGATGCAATCAGACCTATAGCAAAATGTAACAGGTAGCCAGTGCAGAGACTGTAAAATTGCCGTCATCAGGCAACCAGGTGAGACACAGTGCCCACGACCGACATGCAGATCGAAATTTGTTACCCATTTTCAATGGGAAAGTGCAAGCAACTCAAAAAAGTTGCCCGGCAAAATTGCTCAAAAGGTTGCCCCATGTATCATCAGCCTAAAAGTCATCATTCGATTCATTAGAAATGACTGACCATGTGAACAAAATAAATCTTAAGATCCTTTATTCACATTTGCTGGTCTACAAATCAACTAGCCCTGATTTTCTGCTCACCTACAGTTAAAGTCATAGTTCACCCAAAAATGAAAAATGTCATCATTTAGCCTACTCACCATGTTGTTCCAAACCCAAATGAACAAATATATACACACACACATATATATATATATATATATATATATATATATATATATATATATATATATTCTG